CCTGACCTTCTTCCTGTCATGTGCTCTGCCAACCCCACACAGCCCTGTGCAGAGCTAGGTATCTGTGTTTCCTCCCTCCACCACCTCCCTGGAACCTGGAAGACCTCTTGGCACATGGAAAGTCCCGAATAAGTATTTGTGGACAGAATGAATGAACAGTTCTGCATTGACATATTAAAGCTGGTTCATTCACTCTCTAGACTTTGGGCCTCTCCTATGCACAACTCACAGTGCTGGGGGCTGAGAATACAAAGGTAGCCATCATTTGTTCAACTGTCGCTGAGACTGGAAGTGCTCTGAGGGCAGGGGTCATGTCAGAGGTCAGCATCCCACCATATGGTATTCTCTCTGTTAGTGGGCCCACTGTCCCTCAAACATTCCCATAAGAACCTGGGGGTTTTGCAGGTTTCTGTCTTGCACGCCCTACATCCAAGGATAGCCAGGTCCTCACACTCATATCTGCTCCTTCTGTGCACTGCCCAGAAGACAGAGCCCTGGCTTCTGAGTGTGGTGTTCAAGGCCTTCGGGTCTGCCTTCCACCCACCTCTCCATGCAGCTCTTTCCATCATCTGCCTCCACCTTTAGGTGCCAACGACAACAAGCCTCGCCCTGCTGTCACCCAGGCCAGGTTGCTGCCTGCTCCTTGCTGTCACTCAGCTGGGCTGTGAAGTGGCCCCACCTCTGGGCCTGGCTCAGCCTTCCCTGGGATGCAGGTCACACATTGCCTTCTCTAGGAGGACCCGGTCCTGAAGTCCTTGCTCTTCTTCACCCAACTCTGTTCCCCTTTACTATATACTGCCATTTTCTGCTTGTGTCTCTCCTGGAAGCACCTGAGAGCAGGGGATATGGCTTGTTGTCATAGTATTGCCAGAATCTCGCATAGTGCTAAGTAAAATTAATAGGCAGTAACAATTTATAGGTTCAGTCACCATTTGACAAACTAATCTTGGGTGAATGGAAGGATAAATGTGTAAACAAAAAAGTATCTAAGACAGGTCTCAATCAATTTAGAAGGTTATTTTTCCAAGGTTAATGACATACCTGGGAGAAAGGTCTGGTCTTTCTCCAAAGATAATTTTGAGGGCTGCAATATTTAAAGGGGAAAGTGGGCTGGAGGAGAAAGAAGGAGGATATGGTAATCCACATGTTACAAGAGAAAAGGAGCAGGTGGTAAATAATCAATTATGTATTCCTCCCTTGCTCAGTCAATTGGGACTTTGCATAGGATAAGGTGAACATAGAATAGCTGCCTGTGGAGATATTTGACCTTTTATTCTATCTGCTTAGGAATAAAAGGAAAGGCAGTTTCTCATATTACTCAACTTTCAGCTTAATTTTTTTCTTTTGGTATAATGAATTGGGTTCCCAAGTTTTTATTTTCCTTTCACAAATGGATGGAAGGATGGGTGAATAGATGGATGGATAGATTGAAGAATTAATGGATGGATGAATAGGTAAATGGATAAACAAATGAGTGGAAAAATAGATGGATGAAAAAATGTATGAATGAATCGATAGAAGGATGGATGAATGAATGGATGGGTGGATAAATGGATGGATGGACAGATAGATAAATGGATGGATGGATGGATGGACGGATAGATAGATAAATGGATGGATGGATGGATGGATAAGTGGATGGGTGGATGGATGGATGGATGGAAGAATGAATGAAAGAATGGATAGATGCATGGTTGGATGGATAAATAGAAGAAAGGATAGATGGATGCGATGGTTGGATGGATGAATGGATAGATGGGTATATGGATGGATGGATGAGTGGATGGAGGAATGAATGGATGAATGAAAGGATGGATGGATGCATGGGTGGAAGGATAAGTAGAAGAATGGATGAATAAAAAGATGGACAGAGATTGAGGAAGGAATTAATAGAGGGAAGGCAGGATGGAAGGGAAGAGGGGAAAGAAGACACTTTTTTCTGCAAAGGTAGAAGTAAACTATTTCTACAGCATTCATTGATGGCTGGCTTGTATTAGGCTCTGTACAAAGCTGGACATCTTACCCCATAAGGCCCTTCCAACAAGGCTGTGAAGTCAAATCACTATTCTAAATTTTACTTGTGAGAGAAAAAGGCCCAAGTATCATATCTAAGAGGGACAGAGTATCACAGTCCTCCAAACCCAGTACCTTCCCAAGGGGAGCATAACCCTTGGGCTCTGAGCCTGCTGGTTTGCCATGAAAGAAAGGGGAAGTATAGCCTCCAGCCTGGATTCTGCGTGATGGAGCTGTCCCTCCTTCCCTCCGCCAGGAGACTGAGATTGCCAGAATCTGAGCATCACTCCCAGCACATCCTAACATGGCTCCAAGTGGATTGGTACCGCTTTTGCTAATATTTTCCCAAGACCATGGGGTCTCCACCCTCTGGGTACTTTGGGGAGATTCAAGGCGAGTATTTCCATACAAAGAAAGACAGCCTCAATGACCAGCCAAGAGGAAACATGCAGGGAATGAGGGGTGGGAGGACTTTAAAACAACCTCGTGGGCAAGGCTGAGACAGTCCCTGCTGAAGGGGCATGGAGCACTCTAGCTGGGGGTGGGGAAACCCCACAGGGCCCCATGGAGGGCTCACACAGAGGAAGAGAAAATGAAGGGGGTCTGTGAACAAGCCAGGTCCTCTACCTCGGGCAAAAGTTCAGCTCCTTGCCTATAGCATGATACCTTCATTGTTAGCAGAAGGAACTATGAAATTCTCCGAAGCTCATGATCTGGTGGACGCCTGGCCCAAGCCCTTGCTCTTCAGAAGGAACACTGAGTCAGAGAGCAGGAGAGGCTCGGTCAAGTCCACAGTGCACTTCCAGGACAGTGTCTATGAGAACCCAGATCTCCATGCCAGGACCATGCTCTTCTGCTGCCCTTGACTTGCCTGTCTCTCTGCCTGGTGTCTGCTCATCTGCTCAGCAGGGCAGGCATGTAATTCGGCCACAACCCTTCATGAACCCCCTCCTCTGTCAAGTCCCAAGCAGATGCTGGGATTGCCCAGCCTCTAACCAGTGTGCTGAGTACCTGAAAGAGTTGTGAGCAGGAGTGAAGGGGAGAGGAGGAGAGAAGTGGGGAGACAGGTCATGCCCCGAGGAGCACTGCCCGTAGTGCTACCCTCAGAGCCAATCCTTCGCACAAATGGGATCAAGAATATTTTCCCATTGTGTCTATGGCACAAACCACCAGCACAGCAAGTTGTCTGGGCATCAATCACCTTCTGCTCCACTCTTTTTTTTTTTTTTGAGACAGAGTTTTGCTTTTGCTGCCCAGGCTGGAGTACAATGCATGATCTCAGCTCACCTCAGCCTCCCGAGTAGCTGAGATTACAGGCATGCGCCACAATGTCCAGCTCATTTTGTATTTTTAGTTCCTCCATGTTGGTCAGGCTGGTCTCAAACTCCCAACCTCAGGTGATTCACCTGCCTTGGCCTCCCAAAGTGTTGGGATTTTTTTCTTTGTTTTAGACAGAGTCTTACTCTGTTGCCCTGGCTGGTCTCAAACTCCCAAGCTCAGGTGATTCTCCTGCCTTGGCCTCCCAAAGTGTTGGAATTTTTTTCTTTGTTTTAGACGGAGTCTTACTCTGTTGCCCAGGCTGGAGTGCAGTGGCATGGTCTTGGCTCACTGCAACCTCCTCTCACAAGCTATTCTCCTGCCTCAGCCTCCTGAGTAGTTGGGATTACTGGCACCTGCCACCACACCCAGATAATATTTGTATTTTTCATAGAGACAGGGTTTTGTCATGTTGGCCAGGCTGGTCTCAAACTTCTGACCTCAAGTGATCCACCCACCTCAGCCTCCCAAAATGGTGGGATTTCAGGTGTGAGCCACCATGCCCACCACTTCCTACTTCACTCTTATCAGAATTCCTTTTCTACATCCTCATCTCCTTCCTAAAGAGTTAAAAGTGTTAGGCCGAGCACGGTGGCTCACGCCTGTAATCCCAGCACTTTGGGAGGCCGAGGCGGGTGGATCACGAGGTCAAGAGATCGAGACCATCCTGGTCAACATGGTGAAACCCCGTCTCTACTAAAAATACAAAAAATTAGCTGGGCATGGTGGCGCGTGCCTGTAATCCCAGCTACTCAGGAGGCTGAGGCAGGAGAATTGCCTGAACCCAGGAGGCGGAGGTTGCAGTGAGCCGAGATCGCGCCATTGCACTCCAGCCTGGGTAACAAGAGTGAAACTCCATCTCAAAAAAAAAAAAGTTAGAAATGAAACAAAATAAAGCACAGCTAAAGTAACAGGTGTGCTTTATCTTGAACCACCACACCTGCCTAGTATTTTGTCTTTTAAAATAAGTTTTAAAAGACAAAATACTGGCCAGGTGTGTTGGTTCACTCCTGTAATCCCCGCACTTTGGGAGGCCAAGGTGGAAGGATTGCTTGAGCTCAAGAGTTTGAAAACAAAAATTATGGTAATGATTATGTGATTATACTGAGATCATATCATATTTATATGATTATACTGGGATAATCATGTAAGGAAAAAATGGGATAAGTGTAAGTTACTGCAGGTAAAAAAAGGAATGTGGTACACTGCATAGCTTTCCAGAGCTAATCACGGTAGCAAGAATGGCAGTTAGAGCCAGCACAGTGGCTCACGACTGTAATTCCAGCACTTTCAGAAGCTGAGGCAGGAGGACTGCTTCAGCTCAGAAGTTCAGCCTGGGCAAAAGAACGATAATCTCATCTCTACAAAAAATAAAAAATATTAGGTTTGTAGCATGTGCCTGTAATCCCAGCTACTCAGGAGGCTGAGGCAGGGGGATATCTTGAGCCTGGAAGCTGGTGGCTGTGGTGAGCTATGATTGCACCACTGCACTCCAGCCTGGGTGACAGAGTGAGACCCTATCTCAAAAATAAATAAAAATACATATTTTAAAAAATGCAGTGGGACATGGGCTCTGTGACCAGGCTGTCTATGTGCAGAGCCCCACGTCCTCTGCCTGGCAGGGCAGCTCTGTCCCACTCCCACTCTTTACCTGGCTCCTGTGCCCACAGGCTGCTCCGTTACTGAGGCTGTGATGATCCTGGGAAACAAGCTCAGAGATTACAAGGGCCATTTCAACACTACCCGCCTGCTGGCCCTCTGTGACTACTTCCACCACACCTTCATCCACCACTACAAACTCTACCAGTATGTCCTGGGCCAGGAGCAGCAGGTCGACCTGACCGTTGCCCACCTGGAGGTGTGCGTGCCACCCCAGCCCCTCCCACTGGCCGAGGGCATGGACAGGGACTTGTGGACCCACAAGCAGCAGGTGGCTGCGCTGACCGAGGCTGAGGCACAGAAACGCACCGACATGCTGCTCCTGAAAGAAGCACTGCTCCTGGAGAAGAAGAACTCGCTGCAGAAGGCGTTCACCTCTGCCATGCCAGCGCAGCCCAGCCGGGTCCTGGAAAGACAGGTGAGGCTCTGCCTACTTGCCAAGGGTGGGCACCTAGACCTGCAAGGACATCAGTCTGGGCTGGAGTCACTGCAGATGGGAGCACCTCGTTGGCACACATGGGAGGGGGAAAGAAGCAGGGAGGAATCTAGAGTCTAGCCATGGGCTTTGAGTGCACCTCGTCATGCAATATCCCTGCAAGGAAGAAATTCATGTCCCTATTTTAGTGATGAGACCACTGAGGCTCAGAGAACTTATCAACTTGCAAGGTCACCAAGCTAGCATGTGGTAGAGTTCACATTCAGACTGAGACCTGGCTGACCCTGCACTCTAAGCTCCTTCCTCTGTGTCATTTATCAGTGACAGATTCCACCAAGAGAGTCAGGAAAAAGACCCCAGCCTTAGAACTGCAGCAGATTCTCCAGAGCGGGCATGTACCCAGGCTGGGGGAGAAGATGGAGGAAGCAGGGACAGGGGGACAGCTTCTGGAGGATCATGTGACTAGGGAGACAAAGGGTGGAGCTGGGGCCCAGGGAAGACGTGGGAGGATCTAAACCCCAGACTTTGGACTGCTCTCTTGGAGGGTCTGCCAGACCACTGGGGCTCTAGCTGCCAGCATTTCCCATGACCAGCTCTCCAATGACTGTGATGAGCCCGGTCCCAGAGCAGCTGACTTCCTGAGGGCCTGGCCAAGCCTCCATCGGTTTCTTAGCTACACACAGGCATTGAAGCCATCATTGTTGAATCATCTTTGAACATGCCTTGAGAGACAAGTGTGTGCATGTGTGTGTATGTGTGTGTGCGTGTGTTTCAGGCATTGGAGTGTGGGAGTCGCAGGGCCTGTGAGTCCCAAGGGGCTTTGGTTTCTGAATCATCAGCTGAAGAGCAAATGGCCCTAGGAAGTATTTCTTTAGGGACACACACACACAAACGAAAATCTCTAAAGAACAATGAACACATTAGCCTGGATGGTGCTCATCTAAGTAAAGTTAAGTCTCCAGACAAATAGTACATTGAGGGGCCGTGTAATCTTAGCTCATGAAGACATTCAACAAAACCCATGCAACAGTCTGTGTCTCTGGCCCCTGCCAGGGACCTTGCTCTAGCACACAGGGCGGCAGGGTAGAGGCGGGGTCGGTGGCCACAGTGGGAGAGATTGGCCCCTAATGCCCTGCATGTCCCACAGCTCTTCCTACCTGCTACTCTCAGCTCCATGTCCAGCCTCCAGCACGGCACTGCTGGCCCCTGCCTGGTGGAGCTGGTGAGCTAGAGCCCCCCCATGCCATGTGCCCCAGCCATGTACCTGAGATGGGGCACTCAAAGCCATAGAATAAACACAGCCCATTCTCGCCAGGTGTGGTGGCTCACACTGGTAATCCCAGCACTTTGGGAGGCCAAGGCGGGCAGATCACCTGAGGTTGGCTGTTCAAGACCAGCCTGACCAACATAGAGAAACCCCACCTTTACTGAAAATACAAAAGTAGCCGGGTGTGGTGGCACATGCCTGTAATCCCAGCTATTCTGGAGGCTAAGGCAGGAGAATCACTTGAATCAGGGAGGCGGAGGTTGCAGTAAGCTGAAATAGCGCCACTGCACTCCAGACTGGGCAAAAAGAGCGAAACTCTGTCTCAAAATAATAATAATAATGTTGTGGAAGAACATTATTTTCTACAAAAACAACCGAGGAGATATTCTGGGGCAATGTACAATTTTGCATACATTTTAAGTGAAATACGAGATCTCAAATAAATGCACTACAGATAACCAATGGCTCCCAGCGTCTCCCCCAATAACAGCTCCTCTGCTGTGTGGTCGCTCCGGCAGGGAGCCTGGAGAAACGCAGCTACGTGGTCCATGTCTCCAGGCTCTGTGGGCCACGATGGAGTTGAGCAACAGGGTTTCCTGTTCAACATGGTGGCTGGACGGTGGCTGCATTTCCATTCCTTTTCTGGGTGGCTGGGTGGAGGATAAGCCCATTCTCTGAAGCAATTTCCCCGTCCCCTCCCATGAAGTTGCCACTGGAACTTTGAGAGGTGAGAATGAGGATGATGAGGGACGGGGCATCCAGATGGAGCCTGCATTGCCCAGGGAGTAGAATCTCTAGGAAATATGGCACTGGCCAATGGGCCCAGGACAAATGACACACTCAAACAGCATGGCCACCACTCTAAGCCAGAAAAGAAAAAGGAGGGAATGACTATTGGAACCCAAGAAGAGAGCTTTAGTTATAGGCAAGGGCTGAAGGACAGAAGGGTGACCATCGGTAGTGGGCCCCCCGCCATGGCCAGCCCACAGCTGGTCAGAAGATGGGACCTCCCCCATCCTCAGACCTCCCGCCCCTAGTTGGCTGAAGCCAACCAGAAGCCAGAGGTCAAGGCAGCCATGGCACATGGTCAGGGTGAGAAGGGTGGACAGTGGACACATCCTCGGACCCACAACAGGGTCTGAGTTGAGAACCAGATCCCACGAGGCTCCCCAGCCCCGCTCACTGGTCCTCCCCATTCCTTACAGGAATTGGAGAGCCTCGTCCGCCAGGCCGTCCACATCCAGATGGCATTCCTGCAGGAGCTGCTGCAGTGCCAGATCCAGAACACTTTCGCCATCTTGGACCTGAAGCTTCAGAAGAAGACTCTGAACCTCAACACCCCCGCCCCTTTTCCGCCCCCCATCACCAGCCACGCAGGCCAGGAGGAAGCTCTGAAGCCCCACAAAGTGAGTAAAGGAAAGAAAGCGAAGGCAAGGAAGTAGAAGGCCCCCACCGCCACCCAAGACTGACTGGGGACCAGCCATCCACAGCCGTGAGTTGTGCGGCACCGTCAGCTCAGCACCCACAGAGACTTCTTACAATGAAAAAGAAACAAACCCATGCTGTCTGGTCTCTGTCTTGGAAACCACCTGCAACCACCTAAAATCCCATCCAGACAATTTCCCTTGAGTGACAGGAGAGGGTTACGCACCTCTGCTAAGCACAGAGCTTTACTCTGGGGGCGCTGGTCATGTGCTGACGAGCCTGAGCTCAGCTGAAGATGGAGCCACCCAAGGGTACAAGCAGGTAATAGTGAGGGTGCCCCACACACCAGTGAAGCCCTCCAGGGAACCCCGTACTATGTGACGAGAATCTATCCTGGGATTCTTCTTCCTGCCTCTTCCACCACAGGCTTCACTGCATGCAGCCCAGCCCGCAGCTCTCCCACAATAGGACGCAGAGCCATGTGCCCTCCAGAAAATTCCTTCTCCCAGGAGCATCTGCACTGTCTGGACTCAGGCAGGGGGCAGGTGCTGTCCCAGAGGTTGGAGACCTGGCCTGGAGCCCTCTCTGCTGTGGATCTGCTGTGTGACACTGCATGCGTCCCTTTCACCTCTGGGCCCCGGCTCTCTCTCCTGCCGAGTAGGGGTGCTGTAGGGTGGTGTCTCAGGTCCCTCTCTCACTAAGATGTACTAGGAGAAAGACAAGGTGACATTTGCTCTTCCCACGTGTCAAGGGTTTCAGGGTTCAAGGAGCACAAGAACCTACTCAAAGTCACACACAGCAGAGTGCAGAAGGCCTCCTGCTTCCGTGCTGTTTCCTGGGGGTGTTGTGCCTCTCATGGAAACAGCGGCAAAAGTCCTGGAGCTGTGGGTTTGACAGGTGACTGTGGCCCTCAAAATCAGGACAGTGAGGGGGTCACCATGTGCTGCCTCTTCCCAAGCCAGAAACCACCTCTGCCCTGTTCTGCCATCTGCCTGCTACATCCCTTGTGCCCAATGGGGCAGGCCCATGTCATTAACTCATTCCACTGGTCTCTCCTTTGCCACCTACTTTCTAGTTTGTGCCACCAGAGGTGCACTTGGTGTTCGTGTTTCCAGGCAGAGTTGGCTGCCTTTGGTGGCTGGGGGGCACTTAGCGAGGGGTGCCCTGTAGAAGGAGCAGAACAGCCCTCTGCAGCACTGGCAGAGAAGTCCAGGATGCAGGAGCCCCCAACGGGGAAGGCAGCCTCGCTGGGAGCTGCAACCCAGACTCTCCTCCCATCTCACCCTCTTGCCACAGCCAGATGTGTTGATCCCCAAGAAGCCTGATGAACTTCCTAACACCTCTTGGGACAGAGGAAGGAGGTTCTGGGAGTTTAGGTTTTTTATTCCTTCCTTCCCCTTTTGTTCCATAAACACTTTTGAACAACTGCATCTACTGTATGGATGAAACCATTACGGTCCCGACGGAAGTGTGAGACCTGCCATTGGATCCTGTCTAGGGCTTCACCAGGGCCCCAGACACCCCCGCAGCCAGTGTGGATGGGTGCATGCCTGTGTGTGTGTGTACTCACATGTGTGTGGGGGAGCTGGGGAAGGGGCAAGTGGGTACAGCTTCTACCTGGGCCATGTGCTGGAGACCAACATCCTGCACCTGGTTGACTTCCACGTGATTTCCGTATCATTTGGTGGCATTTGTTCAAGGACAAGCAGAGGAGACCTGGGGGCCTGGCATCATCTGAGAGGCCAGATGAGAGGAGGGGCCTGCCGGATTGGGAGGCCTTCCAAAGGCACAAGTGAACCAAGTGGCCTTAGGAAGAGGTGCATTTCAGGCGATGGGGTCCTGAGCCAGCGTGGGAAGCCACCCTCCTCCCTCAGTCCCCATGGGCATCTGCAGGAGTCCCAGGTGTGGTGCTCTGTAGATATGTATTTTGTGTGTAGCTGAGCTGCATTTATGAAGGGGTCAGTAACAGTTGGGAGAGTCACAGGGGTCTGAAATGTGGAGGGAAGCCACAGCAGGGAGTGGAAGAAAGGCCTTGGGCCCCAGCCTCCATAGAAGTCAAAACTGGGCTTTCTGTCTCAAGCTAAGGATAGCAAACGGGTGGGCCCATGGGAAAACTCCTCCCTCCCATCTTCCTGAGGCAGCAGCAGGGAGCTGCCTGTTACAACAGACACTGGGTGGACCCCCAGTCAACTGTGGGACAGTGGACCTCATGCAAGGCCTAAGCTCTCACATGCAGGAATGAAGACCCTAAACTGGGGAAGAGTCCCCAAACCCATCTGAAATGGAATACCTGCTAGAGCCTGTGGATAAAAGGACCAAACATTCTGGGTTCTCCGGGGCCATCCTGGGTGACTCCTCTTATCCTGGTGTTGGGCCTGCTTTGGCATGCACCCCAGCTTTGCATTGTTTAGTGGAGTTCCATGAAGACTTGCTCTAAGAGAAGTAGGTAGCTTCCCACCTGTGCTTCAGCTCCTGCCATGACTGCATCCTGTGGTATGGGACTCTCCTGGTGTGTAGGCACGTGGGTGTGCGGTGAGTGAGTTCTCACCCATGCTAGAGGCTGGAACTAGAAGAGGCAGAGCGCTGACCTGCCTCTCCCAACCCTCTCCTGACTCAGTGGAACCCTTCAAAAACAGCACCCAGACCCTTCTTGAGATACTGAAATGCAGGCAGACACGAGCAACTGGGGAGAGCCAGCTCTTCCCACGGCGGTGGTGCTGAGAGCGGGGCTTGGCACCACTGCTCCCACCGGATGCTTAGTGCTTCAGCCACTTGCAAGATGCGTGCAGCCACCAGGTTCTGGGGTCAGTGGTAAAAGTGAGAGAGACAAGCCAGTCACATAGGCAGTATGGCCAGGAGCTGGGAGGAAGAAGAGCTCACGGAGGGGAGGCCCCACGGCCTTGCTGCAATGACTTGGCTACTTACCACATGCTACAAAGCTACAGCGATGCACTTATCTGTGTTTGCCACGGCATTTTCATTTTTCAATAAACCCTTTTGGTGGCAATGAACTCAACAAAAAGGGAAAGTGCCTGAGTAATGAAAACCTAAGTATACTGACTTCCTCTTTTTCAAGAAAGTTAATGATGAAATTGTAACATGCACAAAGTTGTTCTCTGCATCTACCAGGAACCACAGCAATGCCATCGACTACCCAGAAAGCAAGTCACCAATCTGCTCAAGAAGCATCAGCAGCTACCTTAAAGATTCTCAGGAACTTTCACCCGGCTGGGCCGGGTGGCTCACACGAGGTCAGGAGCTTGAGACCAGTCTGGCCAATATGGTGAAACCCTCTGTCTACTAAAATACAACAATTAGCCAGCTGTGGTGGAGCATGCCTATAATCCTGGCTTCTTAGGAGGCTGAGGCAGGAGAATCGCTTGTACCCGGGAGGCGGAGGTTGCAGTGAGCCAAGATTGCACCACTGCACTCCAGCCTGAGCAACAGAGCAAGATTCCATCTAAAAAAAAAAAAAAAAAAAAAAAAAAAAGAGCCCGTCCAGAATCCAGAATCCAGAATCCACAATTTACATACAGACGGGCAACTGAGGGGGTGGCGGTTTAAAATCAAGCTTGTTCTGTGTTCTAAGTCTTCTTATATGCAAGCTGAAAGGAAAGCAGTGGTAATTCACTGGATAGCATCTCAGCAGAATTTTACATGTGGTGAAACAATGCCAGTTTTAGCGTCATGAGGTGCCTGAACAGAAACATCAGTCAATTCCCATAATGGTCCCCTTTATTCATCCAATTCTGGCAAAGTAAAGCTTTTGGGAATTCATTCTGGTCCAGGTAAAAACCTTTCACCACTGCAGACACTATTGGAACTACACTTAAAAAGTCCAACAGTCAAGATAAAAGTACTTGTTTTTAAGGTGATTACACAAATATACGTGTTTGTAGATCTTAGCACTGTGTTAAAAACAATGGTCTCACCAGCATTTATCAACAACCGAGCTGTATTCAGGCACAGAGATGTATTTAGAATGGGTTGTTTGATAGGCTGGGTGCGGTGGCTTACACCTGTAATCCCAGCACTTTGGGAGGCCAAGGCAGGCAAATCACTAGGTCAAGAGATCGAGACCATCCTGGCCAACATGGTGAAACCTCTAAAAGAAAAAAACAATAAACCAAAAAAAACATAATTTGTACTGGATAGAAACCCTACAAATGTGAGGAATGTGGCAAAGCTTTTTTTTTTTTTTTTTAAGACAGGGTTTCACCATGTTGGCCAGGCTGGTCTTGAACTCCTGACCTCAGGTGATCCGCCTGCCTCGGCCTCCCAAAGTGCTGAGATTACAGGCGTGAGCCACCATGCCTGGCCTTGGCAAAGCTTTTAACCAGTCTCCAAACCTTACTACAAATAAGATAATTCATACTGGAGAGAAACCCTACAAATGTGCTTCCAAGTTTGGGTTAAATTTATTTCAAAATATAGTGACTACAGTTATTGTACACGGAAAATTTTTTAATATTTATTTTGAGATAGTTGTTAGTTTCTAGAAACGCTACTGACAGGCTGAAAATGGTGGCTCACACTTGTAATCCCAGCACTCTGAGAGGACAAGATGGGCAGATCATGAGTTCAGGAGTTTGAAACCAGACTGACCAATATGGTGAAACCTTGTCTCTACTAAAAATACAAAAATTCGCCTGGTGTAGTGGCGCGCCCTTGTAGTCCCAGCTACTTGGGAGGCTGAGGCAGAAGAATCGCTTGAACCCAGGAGGAGGAGGTTGCAGTGAGCTGAGACTGCACCACTGCACCACTCCAGCCTGGGTGACAGAGAGAGACTTTGTCTCAAAAAATAATAATTGTTATGATAAATACTACTAGGAAAACTGGTTAGTCATATACAGAAAAAGTGTGGAACCCTACCTCTTTCCATATAGAAAATATAAGATAGATTAAAGACTTATCTGTGAGTCTTCAAGCTACAGAAGTCTAGAACACTTAGAAATACTCTTCTAGACACTGGTTCCTGGAATGAATTTCTGAATAACGTCTTAAAAGTGAGTGCAATAAAAATCAAAATCAAAACTTTGCATCTAATTAAACTTAAGAGCTTCTGCACAGCCAAAGAAACTATCAACAGAGGAAACAGGCACCCTGCAATATGAAATAAAATATTTCCAAACTGCATA